CAGCCTGAAAGTGAAAGGATGGAAAATGATATTCCATGGAAATGGAGCCTGTAAACAAGCAGGAGCAGCTGCTCTCATATGTGAAAAAGCAGACTTCAGGTCAATATTAATCAGAAGAGACAAAGAGAACAATCAAACAGGAAGATAAAATGATACTAAATATTTATGCCCCCAAATGTCATTATACTAATTACATAAAACAAACACTACTTGACATAAAGACTCTGATAGACCCCAAATAAAATTTTGTCTCAGCTGCTTGTGGAACCTTCTTGAAAACAGAGCATATTTTAGGCCATAAAACAAGTTTTAGCATTTTAATAAAAAAATTTATATAACACCTTGCATTTTATCAGATCACAATGAAATGAAGTTTTAAGAAGCAAARTGAGAATAGCAAGATACAACATATCAGAATCTCTGGGACACTATTATGGCCGTTTGAAAGTYTGTGAAGAGTGCCTACATAAAAAAATCAGAAAGAGCCTAAATAATCTAATAATGCACCTCAAGGCCCTAGAAAACCATTTCCAAAACCAGTAGAAGGAAGGAAATAATTAAGGTCAGAGCCAAAAGTAATGAAATAGAGAATTAAAAATCAATACAAAAGRTCACTGAAACAAAGAGCTGATTCTTTTTTTTTAAGWGAGAGAGAATTTTAAAAATATTTATTTATTTATTTTTTTAGTTTTCGGTGGACACAACATCTTTGTTTGTATGTGGTGCTGAGGATCGAACCCGGGCCGCACGCATGCCAGGCGAGCGCACTACTGCTTGAGCCATATCCCCAGCCCAAAAGAGCTGATTCTTTGAAAAGATAAGCAAGATTGATAAACTTTTCACTAAACTAACCAAAAGAAAGAGAAGACCCAATTAATAAAATTGGAGATGAAAAAGGACTATTTTGAAAACCAATACAACTGAAAAAATCTAGAAGAAATGAATAAATTTCTAGATACACATGACATACCAAAATTGAACCAAGAGGATATAGAAAACCTAAACCGACTAATAATAAAAAAATTGAAGCAGTAATAAAAAGCCTTCCAACAAAGAAAAGCCCAGCTAAATTCTACCTGTTTAAAGAACTAATCTAATGTGRGGCTGGGATTGTAGCTCAGTGGTAGAGTGCTTGCCTTGCACATGTGAGGCACTGGGTTCAATCCTCAGCATCACATATAAATAAATAAAGGTATTGTGTCCATCTACAATTAAAAAAAGTTAAAAAAAAGGAACTAATGTGAATGGTCCTCAAATTATTTCATGAAATAGAAAGGGACACTTCCAAATAGGAACACTTCCAAACTCATTCTACAAAGCCAACATCTCCCTGATACTTAAACCAGACAAGGACACAACAAGGAAACAAAACTACACATTAATATCCTTGATGACCATAGACACAAAATCCTTAATAAAATATTAGCAAATCATATTGAACAACATGTTAAGAAGACTGTGAATCACAATCAAGTTGGTTACATCATGATCAAGTTGGTTTCATTCCGGGGTTGCAAGGATGGTTCAACATATGCAAAGCAATAAGTGTAATTCACCACATRAGTAATATAAAGGACAGAAATCATCTCAATAGTTGCAGACAAAGCTTTCAACAAAATTAAGTTCGTTTGGATGAAAACAATGAAGAAAGTGGGGTCAGAAGAAACTTACCTCAACATCATAAAGGCTATCTATGAAAATCCAAAGGCAACATCATAGTTAATGGGGAAAAACTGAAAGCATTTCCTCTAAACTCAGGAATAAGACAATGATGTTCATTCTCACCACTCATATTCTATACAGTACTTAAAGCTTTAACCAGAGAAATTAAACAAGAGAAAGAAATAAAAAGGATACAAATAGGAAAGGAAGAAATCAAATAATCACTGTTTGCAAATGACATAATCCTATACTTGGAAGATCCAACAAGTTCTACCAGAAGACTTGTTGAGCTAATAAACAAGTTCAGCAAAGTATCAGGATATAAAAATTCAACATACAAAAATCAGTAGCTTTTCCATACACCAATAATTAATCAACTGAAAAAGAAATCAGGAAAACAATTCCATTTAAAATCTCCAAAAAATAAAAACAAACAAACCCACCCAAGGAATAAATCTAACCAAGGAGGTGAAAGACCTCTACAATGAATATTATAGAACTCTGAAGAAAGAAATTGAAGAAGGCATGAGAAAATGGAAAGACCTCTCATGCTCATGAAGAGGCAGAATTAATATTGTTAAAATGGCCATTTTAGCTAGACATGGTAGCACATGCTTGTAATCCCAGTGGCTCAGGCAGCTGAGGCAGGAYGACTACAAGTTCAAAGCCAGTCTCAGCAATTTAGTGAGGTCCTAAGCAACTGAGTGATACCCTGTCTCTAAATAAAATTTTAAAAAGGGCTAGGGATATGGCTCAGTGGTTGAGTGCCCCTGGGTTCAATCCCCAGTTTATCCCCATTCCCCAAAAAGGCCATATTAACAAAAACAATCTACAGATTCAATGCAACCCCCAACCAAGTACTAATAAAATTCTTCACAGAACTAGAAAAAACACTCCCCAAATTCATATGGAATAAAAGACTCAGAATAACTAAAACATTTCTAAGCAAAATGAGCAATGCTAAAGGCATCACAATACCCACTTTTAAATTATACTATAGAGCTAAAGTAACAAAAATAGCAAGGTACTGGCATAAAAATAAGTATAAAGACCAATAGAATAGAATAGAAGACACAGARACAAAACCACACAGGAATAATCATCTGATTCTTGTCAAAGGTGCCAAAAACAGTTGTTGGAGAAAAGACAGCCTTCATAACAAACAGTGCTAGGAAAACCTAGTATCCATATGTAGAAGACTGAAACTAGATCTTATCTCTTGCTCTGCACAATGTCAACTCAAAATGGATCAAAGACCGAGGAATTAGATCAGAAAATCTGCAACTGCTAGGAGAAAACACAGACTCAACACTTTAACATATGGATGCAGGCGATGACTTCCTCAATAGGATTCTTATAGCTCAGAAAATAAAACCAAGAATTAATAAAAGAGATGAACCAAATTAAAAAGCTTCTGTATAGCAAACGAAACAAAGAGTGTGAAGAGAGAGCCAAGACAGGGAGTGCAGCTCCTTCCAAGGAGGATTAATATCCAGAATATATAAAGAACTCAAAAACTTATACACACACACACACGAAACCCAATAAATAAATGGCAAATGAACTAAATAGACACTTCTTGAAAAAATACAAATGGCCAACAAATATCAAAAACACTCAAAATTTTTAGCAATCAGGAAAATGCAAATAAAAACTACACTGAAAATTTGTGGAAATCATCAAGAATACAAGTAAGAATAAATGCCTGTGAGGATGTGTGTGTGTGTGTGGGGGGGRAGGGACACTCATACACTGTTGGGATTGTAAATTAGAACACTCACTTTGGATATCAGTCTGGTGGTTCCTCCAATGACCAGGAACGGAACTACCATAAGACTTTTCTGTACTACTCCTCAGTATTTACCCAAAAGAATTAAAGTCAGCATACCATAGYGATCCCTGCATGCCCATGCTTACAGTGCAATTCACAATGGTCAAATTATGAAACCAGCCTAGGTGTCCATCAACAGATGAATGAAGAAAACGTATATATGTGCTCTGGATTTTCTTTYTAGCCATAAAAAAAACAAACTTATGCTATTTTGCAGGAAAATGGATGAAACTTGAGAGCATTATGTAAAGCTAAATAAGCCAGACTCAGAAAGTCAAGGGTCATTGTGTTTGCTCTCAAATGTGGGAGCTAGAGATTAAAAAAGGGGGKTGGGGGGAGAGAATTTCATGAAAACAGACAGAAGCCCAGCACAGTAGAGGAATGGGACGGGGCGGCTCTGGGGATCAAACTGACCAAGTTATGTTATGTGCATGTGTGAATATATCACCACGAATCCCATTATTACATATGATCTCAATGCACCAATAAAATTAATTTAAAAATACTGAAAAGTAAAACACATTAAAAACTTTATTGTAAGTATCACACATCTAAATTTGCATCAATTTGATACAGTGCTGCTCGTTTTGTGGAACATACCAGTCACACAATTCGCTTACATGGTAATAGTCAACCTGCTCTGGAGCTGGTCACACCACAGTGGCCGCCTCCTGCCTCCCCACCTCCCTGACTGCATTTCTGCAGTCTGCTCTGCCTCACCCACCACAGGAGCCAGGCCCGGGGCCAGGGAGAACCTGCTGCCAGATGGGCCTGCTGTGAGCGTGGAGGGAGACAGGTTAGCCCTGTAGCRGGATGAGGGTCAGCAAGGCTCTTTCTCTTCTCTTCTGGGGCTGAGCCTGCAGTGGGTCAGCCACCATGCTCTCTGGAAAAGCCCTGCAAGGCTCCAGAAAGCAACGATTCCCTTTGTCCTGTGACACCCCCGAGCCTGAGTGGTAACTCTGACTTGTCTGAGCAAAATTAACCTCAAGTAAGCGTCATGGTRTATTCCAGAACCTCAAGTCAGTACTTGATTACCATCATTATTTGTAATGGAAGTTGGGAGAAGGAGCTGGAGAAATTCCCTGACTGGAACAGGCTGGAACAGTGTGGAGCTGGGATGAGCTTTAATTTCTCCCTCATCACCGAGGCCCGGTGGATACAGCTCATCCCCTGGGAAGTGGGGACACTGACAGCCAGTGGGATTTGAACAAAGTTCAACAACAAAAAAAATAGTGATTAAAAAAGTCCATAAAGAATAAAGAATAATTTTGCATGTCCTTTCTTGAAGTACCATTACCTGTCCCTCTTCATGGTGGCGATGATSAGAGGGTACATAGGAAAAGTCACTGTGGTAAGAACATTACAACAGTAACGATTTCCCATCTGGACTGCTTTTCAATTGCCCACAGAAATCTGCAATTTTAATGCACCTGRACACAGCAGTAATGAATGATGATTCTCCAGACTAAGGAAAATGCCCAATAAAAAAATAAAGATAGAAAATACATGCTAATTTAATGGCAAACTTATTTTGGTACTACAACAGTAACCATCTCGGAGACAGGGAAGAGGTGCAGTGGGAACCACCCTCTTCCCATGAGACATCGCTGCCAGAGCCTTCTTGGTACTTGGGCTGAGGTGGTGGCGGGGACCATGCCACTGCCAGTCAGTGGCTGGACGGGAACATCAGTGCTGCAGTAGGAAGTTGGTGGCCACATTGAGGTCATTGTTTGAGGCTCTTAAGGCTTCCAAAGCGTCACCTCTGGAGAATCCCATCTCCATGAGCCGGGCGACCTGTGAACAGACAGCAGAACCCAGGAGGTTGGCGACAGCACTGCTTATCCTCCGACCCCCAAAAGGCTCCTGTGTGAACTTTGTAGGAAGGGTCAAAACTGAAACCACCACCTCCTCCCTCCAAAAGAACCCAAACCAACTAACTGGTTTCTATTCCAATGTGAAATCTTCTGTTCTAAAACGCATAACAGGTACCAATTTACTATATATGGTCAATAAATATGCATTATTATCTCATATAACTTCATTTTATAGTTGAGGAAATGGGGCTTCTCAGGGTCAGTGACCCACTGGGACCAGGCCTTGGGAGCAGCCAGGCACAAGGGGTCAGAATGCATCACTGGGACACTCCTGATGAAGCTTCTGCTCTGACTTAGGACAGGCAGGTGTCATATGCATGTGAACYGACTCACTGGACACTTGCTCCTGAGGATCACGACACGCTTTCAGTCCTTGGGTAACACATCAGCCCTGCCTCTGGGGGCTGAGGCCTTGTCCGCCTGTGGCCTCTGTAGGCAGCAGCAGTGGTGGCCATGTACACAGAAGGCCGAGCTTGGTGTGAGGCAGCTGAAGCCCGCGGGGACGCAGCCACACCAATCCTGGGGCTACGAACACAGCTTCCTGCACTTTGTACAGTCTCCAATGTTCCAATCGGCAATATTACTAAAGTTTACCTGTAATCTGTTTTCCCAACTAAGAAGGACTATAAAAATATTGATAGCCTTGGATTAGCTACAGGAATCCAGTTTTTGCACTTATATTAAAATTGATCATACCTGCACCAACATGGTAAGAGATGATACTCTTCTAACCATTGAGATTTTCAATGACATATGCATTAAAGAGGCTCTGAGGACTGACCTGAGGACTCCCTCACCATTTAAAAATTCCTTTCAGATAGGAAGTGATACACTGGCCACACATGGAAGAACAGGTCCACCACTCTTCTCCTGCCCCTGCTCAGGGAACTCTGGGTGTCACCGAGTGGGGGCGAGGTGCGCGTGCACAGGGCTGGAGGAGGGGCTGACTGGCAGGGCCAACATGATGGAAGGCCCCAGCGAGAARAAGAGGGTGCAGGGCAGTCGGAAGGGACTCAGGGGACACCCAGGCCCAGTCCCCACCTCCCTCAAAAGCCTTAGGGAAACTGCTGAGAGGGCGTGGGGATACACAGGTGGGGACGCTTCTCAGAAGTGGGGTGCTAGCTGGTGTTTAGAAACTGAAGGCGTCATTCATTTCATTTAGGTTGTGAGCACTGACAGGGTGAAGACTAGGACCTAACTCTGCAGCAGGAGGGCTGCTCCTCCCGACTACTTCCACTCCAGCTCCACCGTCACAGAAACGCACAGCGGGCTGCATCCTCGATGTGGCTGCTGACTAGRGGACAGGCCTGTGCTGTAGCAGGGGCCCACCCAGGTGAGCCAGTGAGATGTGGCCCAGGCACAGCAAGGCRGTGCCCACAGGTGCCCTGAGCGCAGCTCCCTGGCTTGATGGACAGCCTGGAGAGAACACAGAAATCTTCTAGCTTCGTTTCCCTCCCAAGGAAATACTCACCTTTTCTAGAATATCAGCCTTGGCCCAAGGCACCAGGGCTGCTCTGCATATCTAGTGGAAAGTTCTTCCTCCTACAAGCAGAACCTGATCTTCATGGGACGTCACAGGTCCTAATTTTGCCCTTTGAAGTGGCAGAAAGCAACCCCACGTCCCCTTCCCATGAGAAGGATGTGACAGCCCTGTGCACGCGCACCTCACTCCCACTTGGTGACACCCAGAGTCCCCTGAGAGGAGCAGGGGCAGGAGAAGAGTGGTGGACCTGCTCTTCCCTGTGTGGCCAGCRTATCACTTCCTTTCTCCCTCTATCTCTCGGCTCCTCTGGGGAACACTCCCRGCCCCCTGGCTCCGTGGCTGCCCCTTGGCTGGGTGCTGCCTCTGCCTGGGAGGAGTCTCTTCCCTTGGCCCATCAGCGGCTCTTCACCTGACGGCTCTTGGAGTGCCTGCTCTCCCCAACGTCTCCTAGTCCAGAGGACTCAGGACGAGAAGTCCTCGGGGGTCCCACCTTCCTGTCCCAGGCTCACTGAGGCTGTCCCCACCACTGGACTGTAAACTCTCTGAGAAGAAGGGCTATGGCTGCTTTGTTCATTCCTGTGTTTCAGGATCCAGCAGCTTCCAGCCWGGTCCCTTCTGTCCCATGCTCTCATTTATGCATCACCTCAAAATGTGCCTAGAACAGAGCACAACACCGCGGGCGTGGGCTGACCTGAGTACTGGGTGCTGGAGGGCCGCCCTCCTCTGACCTTGCCGTCCACTTAGATGAAGACAGCACAGGACGCTTTTGAGGAAGCAGAYTTGTGTGCACATGTGCTTTGCGCAGGGTGCCTCATCGTGGGACTTGGTGTTTACCAGACAGAGAAAATGACTGAGTAGAAACAGCATAATTCTTTCAAAAAGTGAGAATTTACACTGAAAACCTTTGGGAAATTTCACCTGAAGCTCTTCAGACCAGGTTTCTCAATCCTCACTTCTAGGCACATGACACTGCACATCCCTGCCTGTTTTCTAGCCAACTAAAATGAATTCTTTTTTATTTTAATTTTGTTGTCAACCAGGTTAGTTATCTCCCTCAAATTTGTRTCACCCTGAAATTTGCTTAGTAAACTTCTCAWATTTGTTGGTGCTGAGATGTCACACAGCATCCTGGTGACGTCTTGTGCCAGCAAGATTACTGTGGTACCTTGGATGAACACAATCTTTTTGATGTTCACGAGTCACCTGGTTTAGGCTCTGCCAGATGCCAAATATCAATTTTGCCATCCTGTTCTTGGGATTCACTTTCTCCTTTCATTAGGGGCATTTTGAAGCTGAGTGTTACTCCCCATCCTTTCTCGAGCCCCTGTGTCCGGGGTGGGGGATGGGCTGGGGAACCAGCACCGATTGCACTGCAATAAGAGGGAAATCTCTGGACTGGGCAGGATTGACACGAGCTCTTAAGCTGTTGGTCTCAACCATCTGCAGTTAGGGAACTCCGTCCCAGGCCAGTGAGGAGCTGTCAGCCACCTTCTTTCCATCCATTATCTCTGCAAAAGTGAAACTGCAGGCCCACCTCAATGGCTTARAAAAGGCTGCCTTTACTATCCCTCTTGGTCACCTCAAGCACAGCTGAGGACTGGCTGCTTCTGTGCACCTGGTCAGCAGGAGCAAATCTATTTGCTGTCCATTAGCACAGCATGGGGGTCAGGATTCACTGGAGCTGCAGAGCTCAGTTCAACAGAAGTTGGGGCACCTGACCTTTCCTCCACTGGTGAAGATGCTGATGGCAGGTGGTGACATGCAGGCCGGCACAGCAGAGCAGCAGCCAGGCTGCAGGGGCCCCACTGTCTGGAATGCCACTGTGTCTTAGCCACATAAGCAACGTCCAGCGTGAGGAGCAAAAGCTTTTCTTCCTCCTGRGGTCATTCCCTCTTAGGCGTGTGCAGCCACACGCACACTGGCACTGGCTCTMGGCCCAGCCTGGTTTTTCACAGGTCTCTGCAGAAGACTTTCTGCCATCTGAGCAGGCTGTGGGCTGGCAATGCAGGCTGAGGTGGGCCACCAGGCCCACTTAGGACGGAGCTGGTTTGGACCTTGCATGTTCTTTAGAAGTGAGAAGACCAGTGTGATTAGAGGGTTTTCATTGCTGATAAACTTGGTATGTTTGTCAGAGAAAATGACTAAGTAGAAATAGTTAGCATTGTTTTTTTAAAAAATGAATATTTATAGTAAGAAATGGTACCTGTCAAGCTCCTCTCACATGCAGAACATAACATGGATAAATGAAAGCGTATGCTTGGGCTTAGGTATGTGGGTGAAAACCAGCCAACCTGGAGGGAAGCCCCTGCTGCCCCTTCTTCAGGCCATCCCTGAGTTCAGTCCAGGTGGTAAGAATGGGAGTAACAACTAGCCACACAAAGAACAGACTCCCACAGCTTTCTCTGGTGGGCATTAAAAATGACTGCTGTGGACCTTAGCACCTACTGGCTCRGAGAAGCCCTGGCTGCCCAATCCTAGCGTGTCTCATTCCTGCCTCTTCTGTGAAGGACTCAGGAGTGCTCCGAAGATCAATTCCTGTGTTTCAATGGCAGAAAGACAAAAGTGAGGCCTCTGCAGATGTGTAGTCAGGCAACAAACAGATGGGAAGCCAGAGGCCCACTCTTCCTCAGCACGGACATTCAGGAGGCAAGGCTGGTGGCCAGGGTGGCTCTGCAGAAGTGCAGGACAGATAGCTGGGCGCTCCCAGGAGGCAGGGAGACCAGTTTCCTGGCGTCAGTCCTGCGTATGCACAGGAGAGCTCTAGAACGGATACMTAACGGGTGCTTGATCCATGTCACCTCTTAGGATAATTATTACCATGAAAGCCTCTGGGCCAGGAGGGCAGCAAGCTCTCCCTCTGGACCTCTGAGGAGGYCCTGATCCAGAGCCTCGGATGGCCCCCACCTGGATCTATTTTCCACACTCCCTTTCACCTGCTTCCACTTCACTAGTTTTGTACCTTTGTTTTTCAAGAACTGATGTGTCCTTTACAACAACAAAGTGCAGGCACACAAAAACACAGTCCTGGAATAAAACCTTCACACTTAGAAACCAAGAGGGCCACATGCTGCAGATTTCTAGTTTAAAATGACATAAACAAGAACTGGCCTAAGAAATCTAACATGATGAGACCAAATGAAGCCTGAGGATGGGGACAGCCTTCTTTTTTAAAAGGTGAACATAGAATTTTAACAAAAAGGCCCGCAGCATTATTTTAGTGACTCTTGGAAATACTTTATAGATTCTAGCAGATACTCAATCCCAGTGATTATATGAATAATGGTATTTATAGAAACTCAGCCCACCTCCTGCCCCAGCCAACGCAGAGATTTTAGCTTCCACATGTATTAAATCACACCCAAAGCCTAAACTAATGGCTTCTCTGTGGGCTGCTTCTTATCTTTGCAGTTCAGCTATGGGATGAGAACCCTYAGGTC